GACTGAATTAAAACAGCTATATATATATATATATATATATATATATATATATATATATATATTACTCTCTCTCTCTGCAAATATACATCATACATGATATTACTATTTGCTCACTAGAAAACATTGTTTTTTAATTTTATTTTAGTTCAAATTAGGAACAAGCTTGTTTCACATGTCAATCCGTTCTCCCTATCCCTCCACTCACCCCATCCCTCCTCCCCCATCCCCGGCCTACCCCATACCCTATCCACCCTCCACTCCCCAGGCAGGGTAGGGCCCTCAAAGGGGGCTCAGCAAGGTCCACCACATCATCCTGGGCTGGGCCTGGTACCTCCCCCATGTGTCCAGGGCAAGAGTGAATCCCTTCACGTGGGATGGGCTCTCAAAGTCCCTTCTTACACCAGGGAAAAATACTAATCCACTACCAGGTGCCCCCTGGAGTGCAGAGGCTCCTCATTGACATCCATGTCAAACATGTTAAATAAATAACAATGAACAAGTATAATATAGGTTACCTTTAGTTTTACAGCTCACTTCCAACAGTTTTTATATAACATTGCTCCCAACTGAAATTGCTTTTTTACATGAGTAATATATGATTTGCTTCCGTGTCATATTATAGAAACTGTTTGGGGAGGCTGTGACCTCCTAGATATTTTTTATTTAATTTGCACATATTAATGTTCAATCTATGATTTACTTTCTCTAAGGTTTTGATAAACACACCATACCATGATTTAGTATCTGTTCCATAGAGATTGTTTTCTTCCTGCCTTCAAAATATTAATTGCTTCATCTGTACCTTTGACCACCTGCAAAACCTATTTTCTGATTGTCACTGATCTATGTACTCTCCGTAGGCTTTCCCTTCTCATATAGAGCATGCTATCTGCAGAGTAGCTTCTTTCATTTAGCAATGTGAATATGATAGTCACGAGTTCATCAAGTTTGTACTTCATTTATTTCATCACTGAATATTGTTCCATTATTCAGATAGCCCAACGTTTGTCCATCCATTCATTGAAAGACAATTTTCTTATAGTTTCTTCCTTGGGTTATTATGATTGTTACTATATTATTATTATTGAGAAAGTGTTTCTTCTAGCCATGTCTGGCCTCAAGCTCAATATGTAGCCCAAGATAACCTTGTTCTTCCTATCTCTCTGTTTCTACCTCCTAAGTGCTGAGATATATATTTATGAATTACTGGCATCAAACCCCATATGTCTTGGCTTAGGGGGTATTCCTCTATATGGAATGGGCTCCCAAAATCCACACCTATGCTAGGGACAAATACTGGGCTTCTACAGGAGGTCCCATAGATTTCTGAGGTTTCCTCAGAGAAACCCATGTTCCTTGGGTCTGGATCAGTCCCATGCTGGTATTCCAGCTATCAGACTGGGGAACAAGAGTTCACGGATGTTCAGGTCAGCTGATTCTGTGTGTTTCACCAGCGTGGTCTGGACCTCTGTGCTTTTCACTGGTCCTTCTCTGCATCTGGGTTCCAGTTCAGATCGGTGGTTAGTTATGGGTGTCTGCTTCTACTTCTACCAGCTGCTGAATGGAGGCATATAAGTCAGTCATCAATCTCATAATCAGGGGAGGGCATTTAAGGTAGCCTCTCCTCCATTGCTGAGATAGTTAGCTGTCATATTTGTACATTTCCTCCAGACATTTCCCTAGTGCCTGATTTCTCTGTAAACCAAAAATGTTTCCCTCTATTATGATATCTCCATGCTTGTTATCGTGTATTCTTCCCCTGACTCATATTTTCTGCTCCCTCGTGTCCTCGGCATCCCTCTTCTTATCCCCTTCTCATTCTCCTAGCTCCCTCCTCCCTCTTCCCATGCTCCCAATTTGCTCAGCAGATCTTGAACCTCTCCCCTTCTTCAGGGGATCATGTATGTCTCTTTTAGGGACCTCCATGTTTATTAGCTTCTTTGGCAGTGTGGATTGTAGGCTGATAATCATTACTCTATGTCTAAAATCCGCATATGAGTGAGTACATACCATGTTTGTTATTTTGCGATTGGGTTACCTCTCTCAGAATGATTTCTTCGAGTTCCATTCATTTTCCTGCAAATTTCTAGATTCCATTGTTTATTTTCTGCTGAGTAGTACTCCACTGTATAAATGTACCACATTTTCTCTATCCATTCTTCGGTTGAGGGGCATCTAGTCTGCTGCCAGTTCTGGCTATTATAAATAGTGCTGCTATGAACATCGTTGAACATATGTCCTTGTTTATGAATGTGCTTCTTTTGGGTATATGCCTAAGAGTGGAATTGAGGAGTCGCCATACTGATTTCCAAAGTGGCTGTATAAATTGTCACTCCCACCAGCAGTGGAGAAGTGTTCCCCTTTCTCCACATCCTCTCCAGCATGAACTGTCATTGGTGTTTTTGACATTGGCCATTCTGACAGGAGTAACATGGTATCTCAGAGTTGTTTCGATTTGCATTTCCCTGATGGCTAAGGATGTTGAACACTTTCTTATGTGTCTTTCAGACATATTAGATTCCTCTATTGAGAATTGTCTATTTAGTTTTGTACTCCACTTTTTAATTGGATTGTTTGGTGTTTTGGAGACTAGCTTCTTGAGTTCTTTGTATATTTTGGAGATCAGCCCTCCCTGTGTCAGATGTGGGGTTGGTGAATATCTTTTCCTAGTCTGTGGGCTGCTGTTTTGTCTTGCTGTCTCCTTTGCCTGCTGCCTTGAGAGGTGGTCACTTCCACTGCCAGCTGCATGGGACATGAACCCACATTAGAGTCTTATGCTTTGACAGCAACTTAAAAAAAAGAGACAAAGGAACCAACAGAGCATATGACTCTTAATGTGGGTTGGTGCCCCATGCAGCTGGCAGTGGAAGTGAACACCTCTCCAAGCTGGCAGCATGCTACTTGGTGGCAGCATAGACCAAGGCAGTGAGCACAGCTTTCAGCACTGATGGCACCATCTGGGAAAGACAGCAGATAAGAAAGCTGCTTCATTAATTTTAGCATTGCTGTTTAGCAAATAAAAGATTGTGTGGCCCCCAAAAGGTAAAGATTTACAATAAAGACAGATTCAGATGAATAAAAATCTCTAAAGGTTTACACTGTGTTTAAAAGAAAGAAGGAAATATAGAAGCTGAGTGTGGTGGCACATGCCTTTAATACTAGCACTCGGGAGGCAGAGGCAAGCAAATCTCTCTGACTTCAAGGCCTGCCTGGTATACAGAGTGAAATCAAGGGCAGCCAAAGTTACACAGAGAAACCCTGTCTCCTAAAAGTAATACATAATAGTAAAAGAAATAGAATAATAAAATCCATGTAAAGATGGAAAATACACAGATTGTCTGGATACTATATGCAATATTGTTGTCTTTAAATTGTTTGATTGCTGAAGAAAGAGTTACAGCTGCTAAAATATATTTGATTATAAGTGCTGCTGAATTAATCAAACTTATACATTTTAAAAATGCTTTGACTTCAAAATTTAAGTCTAAGGACAGGCTACTTGTGAAAAGATTTCTTGCTTGTGTTTTCACAGAAAATGATAGCTGTGGATTCCTTCCAGACTTATATGTTTTGATCAAGCAAGACTCTCTGAAGCAGTGGCCCAACTGACTCTACATCCTAAACAGCTGAGATGATGCAGTCATAGACCACTACAGCCAGGATTTCTGGGTTTTCTCAGGATCCCCATGACATTGCCTCAAACCAGCAGGAAGCAGTTTGGAATGAATGACTCCCAAGTTCCCAAATATTGTTTATAAATGTTTGTTTTCATTTAAATGGGGTTGGTTATAAATGGTAATGATCACAGTCAATCTCTCTTTAAATGAAAAGAAGGGAAATTGTATATAGAAATGAGTTTTTTGCATTGGTATGGATTTTCATTTATTGGTACACTTTAAGGTCAATTTTGTGATTTGTATATTCCTCCTCTTCTTTAGGTATTGTGTTTATACTGATCTTTAAAATTGTAATACATAATTAAATACAGATTATATAGTCACCTATAATAGTGAGAACTTATATTTAAGTTACTTAGGTTTTCTAGATATACAGAGATGTATTTGAGATGGATAGATAATTTTCAAACCTTTCAAAGACCCCCAGAATATATGGCATTTAAATGTTTTAGGGATTTTCTTGACAGTGAGACACAACTTCTCCTGGCACACCAATTACATCAGAAAGGAGTATGGGTATCAAAGAAACTCATTATGGAGTTTACCTTCAACATAGCAAGATTAGCCATTTGAGCACAAAACTGCTCTTGCCTGTTTGTTGCTGTATAAACTGGACATGCAAGCCTACAAGAATGTGACTGCTGAACTTACAAAACAAGACAGTACTAAAGGGTTCCTGTTGAAATGGAGAAGTGTGCCAGACACACTGTGGCCTTTGGGCTGAGGATGGATGCCCCAACATTACAGAGGAACTTTGGGTGACTGGCAAGGTAGCCGGTTGTCTCTGTCAATTCTGGAGTTTATATATTATGCTTCTGGGAGCTTTGATGGAGTTGAAGACAGATAGTTATGGTTATAGTTTTCTTCAGTTATTATAAAAGATAAGTTACCCTTCTTTTTTTAGACGGAAAAGAGGAAATGATGGGAGATGTCCTTCTGTATATATGTTTGTCTAATTGGTTGATAAATAAAATACTGTTGGCCAATGAAGAAGCAAAGTTATCCAGGACTAGGAGTCAAGCAGGATTCTGGGAAATGTTGTAAAGAAGTCTTGTGATACAGGCAGGAAGTGAAATAGCAGGGAGACTCATATTTAAGCAAGGACAAGCAGGAAGTGTTCTGTTTTCTCTTGCTTGCCCTCTTCCTCCTGCTATCTTCTCTGGAGCGGCCATGTGACCACCAGGAAGACAGGAGACAATCTGCTGTTGTCCTCCATCAGATAAGTCTTATGATTATGGTTAACAATTAAGACTGAGGTAGCAGATGAGAAATCCTAGTCATTGGTCAAGCAGCATTTGGAATTAATATAATTCTCTCTGTGTTACTTGGGAAATCCCACCGCTGCCACCAAATAAAGTGAAACACAGTAAATGGGGATCGCTATGGAGTCAAAGCAAGTTTGATGAGCAGATGTTTATTAGAAAAGTACTCACGTGACAGAATCATTCTTATACCACCAAGCAGGTCAGAGAACAGGTAGAGCTGCATGCATGTGACCCTCATATTTAAGGTCTTGCTATGTCACTCTGACCATGCCCAAGTGTATGTGGTCTGCATCACCTGTGCCAGCTCCCAAGAGGGCATGGCTAACATTTCCCCTACAGGTATATGATGCAAAACTCTAGGTGTTTACTGTTCCCTTTAGTCATTCTTTTTTATTGAAAGAGTATCAATCATGTTAAAATGCTCTTGAGTCACCCTCATTTTTATCTCAGTGATCAGTGTGTTAAGAGTCTTATAAAGTTAAAGCAGTGACTGAGAACACTAAAAGGCAATACAGAAGATAATTAAACATTGAAATAAATATTAGAGTATAGGAACTGGTTAAATATAAGAAATTAAATAAGAATTTTGTCTATAGACCATGGTAAAGATTTCAAATATAAGCATCCCTCTACAGGATGCTTTTAGTAGCTATGAAGTTTTCTCTTAAGCAGGTATTGGCAGGGAGATAAAGTTAATATATTATAAAAAACTTGCTATATTTTTCTGCATTAAACGCAGGAATTGTGAAGAAGTTTAAATGCTTCATAATGTTTTCTTTATTCTACTGCCAATGACAACTTGATATTCAGAAGAATTTGAGAGTTACCAATCACAGACCCCATGCAAGACACTTGTATTTCCTGAAATGCAAAGGACATCTCTATTGAAGGGAGTATTTTCTTGGAAAACCTCTATTGTTAGGTGAGTTAATTCAAGAGAAACTAACTTGGGCTGAAAGTTCCTACCATCAGCGTTGTCAACTCATATATCAAAACAACAATGGAATCTTGAAATTCGCAGGCAAATGGATGGAACTAGAAGAAACCATCCTGAGTGAGGTAATCCAGTCACAAAAAGACAAAAATGGTATGTACTCACTCATATATGAATTTTAGACATAGAGCAATAATCCTATAATCCTCTTCACCAAAGAAACTAGGAAACATGAAGGACAATAAGGGATAAATGGTCCCCAGGAATGGAAGTGGCATGAACTCCTGAACTAATTGGGAACATGAGGGTAGGGGGGAGGGAACTGCTACAATAAGAGCAAGAGGAGTTGAGGAGAGGAAATGGAGGGGCAGAAATATTGAGTTGGGGAAAGAATAGAGGAGAGAGAGCAGGATGAAAGATACCATATCAGAGGGAGCCACTATAGGTCGGAGAAGAGATCTGGAACCAAGGAGATCTCCAGAGACAAGGAGACACGATCTGACAATCCAGGCCCCCTAGTACAAGAAGGGACTTTGAGAGCCCATCCCACGTGAAGGGTTACACTCT